ATATACCGGCTGAAACCCTAGCACTCCCGAGCCAGGGCTCGAGCGGCGCAGCAGCTTCTGCTTCTCCTTCTGGGCTCTTCTCAAAATATCTCGCCTCCTCTTCCTCTCCCGAGCTCGACGCCTCTCCTCCCGGTCGCGGAACGCCGCCTCCACTGCCTCCGCCCCCGGCTTCCCTTCCTTCCTCTCTCCCTCTCCCTCTCTCTCCCAACGTGGCGCCGTGTGGCAGCGGGCCTCGGCGCCGTCGCTTCATCGCGTGAGGCGCGGGTGGCGCCACGCCGGCCCCGGGTTGCGCTGGACCTCCGCGTGTCGGCCCCGACGGCGGCCGTCCCCGGCCACAACGCGGCGCGTGGGTGCCCCGCCGTTGGCCGCTGGCCCGGGTGCCCCCCGACGCGGCCTTCTTCCACAGCTCCGCGTCTGCTCCTCTGCTCCACGAAACCCTAGGTGCCTGTGCTCGACGACCCCGGCTGCGCATCGCCTCTTCCTCTCCGGCAGTGGCTCCGATGGCTCAACTTGGCGGCAGATCGGTGGTGCCTCACCCCTCCACCCGTGCTTCCGCGGCGACGGAGGCGGGTCACCCCCTCCTCGTCTCTCTCCTGCTCTACAGAAGCCCAGCCACCAGGTATGGATGCCTATGGGCACTTCCCCTACTCTATTTGTGCTTTAGCTATAAGGTTTAGTTCCCTAGATTTAAGGATTGATTTATTCGGATCTGTTACCGGACATGGATGAGGGATTAGAGGCAAGTGTTTAGTTTTCTTTCTTTCTTAGCTTCGTTTAGCGGCACATGGATTCTTGTTGTTACCGGTGATGAACTATGCACATTGTTACTGCTGAGACTTCATCGTTCTGTGACTTTGGGAGTTTTACCTTTTAGTGGTGTTTCCATATTGTTATCTACCTATCTAAGTGCCTTCACTCAGAGATTTGAATTTCATCTGTATTTTGTTCCGTATTTTGCTATGTTCTTCTAACATGTTTTCCTTTTGTAAATGCAAGGTTTAGTAGAAGAGTAAAATACTTCGATGTTGTAGATCATGTGCAGGTGACATACTACATATCTGAAATATCTTCAGGTAAATTATTTGAAACCATGAAAATCTGATTCTATAGTTTTAAAGACATGAAAAATAACAAGGAAAATAGCCTATTCATACTTCTTTTGTTGTTTTTTCTGTTACTGTGAACAAAACATTCACCAGGTGAATAGCCTATTCAAATAAATTATGAGCATCCTGCATTGCCAAGGCACTGGATTGTTGAAGGGCAACACCAAAGTGCAGAGGCACGAGCCCACGCTGAGGGGATGCCATGATGTCAAGTTCAGCGGCAGCGACTAAAGGTCGTGTTTTCTATACCAGCTATAAATTTTGGTTTGCTTCATCATGTTATTTAGGGGAACAGGACATATCATTATCTGCAATTGCCTTGGGTACAAAAGCTTTGTCTAATTATTTGTAAGGATCAGAAGGAGCTACTCCTTTTATTGGCTAGATTTGTAAAAACAATACCTGTTGCAGAGCAGATGCGAACAATATTGGAGATCAGTGTGGTGGATGGATGGTTGCATGCTATGAAAAAAGGTTGAACAACCACTCTGGGTAAGAATAAACTTATCTTTGCAATCTAATTGTTTTTTTACCTCAAGGTTTTATTGTGTACTCTGGTTCACACAATCTGTTTCTACTATTAGTCAGTTTGATCGATTTACAGGATCCATTTTTCCTTTCCAAATTTAGAATGTGCACTGCTGATATAGGTTTAGTCTCACATAGCCTGTCTTTTCCTAATTTCCTGATGGTGTCACTAGATTTATAATACCAGTACTGCTTATAGATGATCTATCCCTACAAAGTACCTCATGTACCGACTTTGTGGAGATTGATTTTAATGTGTTTTGGGGCTCTTATTGTAATGCTAACATTTTAAAAAAAATGCTGCCGATATACCGATTTAGCCTTGCACGATATTGCCTCTGCTGCTATATAGGTTGCTTCGTTCTGAGGTTTGCTGCTTCAACTATTTGGCTATTTCAGACCAAGTACATTTCTTGCTATGCAGACGTTGTGCCTAATGCAAGTAGTAAGCAAGTTTAGTCCTTCCTTTACATTGCTGGGCAATTGACTAACAACGCTAAAAGGCCATAGTTTTTCCAAGATGTCTGAACAATGTTCTTGTGTGTCCTGCAATATTATAAAATTTGACACCGCATCATTGCAATGACCATTTCTTTGTACAGGTGTACAAGCTATCCATTGCTGTGGCGTGTGCCCTCACATGGCCACCAGACCGTATTGTAATACAAGTCTTGGATGATTCCACTGATCCGATTATTAAGGTAGGCCTTGGTTTCAGGGACATAGTTTATCTTGATTGACTAAAAGTAGAAATATTCATATATTTTTGGGTCAAATTGCGGTTGATGTGATGTATTTTTAAACGTTAATTGTGACTTGAAATTGTAAAGGAATGATCAGTTTCTCATTTATCGAATGGGGCATATGAATGTTGATACTAATTTGCTAGGTTAAGTGTACTTGGTAATAGTCAGGTGATGCTTGATAGCCCTACAATATGATGCCCACCACCTGTTTGTTAGAGTAAGCAAACAACCAAGCAGTTCATACCTTTTCCCCACTTATATAAAAAATAGAGATAGAATGATCATATAATTTTGTATTATCTTAATGATCATATATATGTACATACCATCCTCATGCTACGACCCTGAGTATTTGTCATGTCAGTTGCTAAAGATTAGATGAGTGTTTAATCTTCGGATTTTTCTCAAATCAACGTACAGGCCAACTTTGATTATATCTTTTTTTTCAAAAAAAAACGTGTGGCCAGTGACCCGCACGCATGGGCGCGCCCGAAGGACCAGTGTTCTTGAACGAACGGATATTTTCTTTGTTTCGCCGCAGTGCAAACGATAATACGGAGTATCATTCAACAATCAGCCTGTTCGGGAGGCTGTAAACGATCGTGGATTATTTACTGCTAGCTGGTTTGGTGTGAGAGAAAAATACTGTTCCCGGCTGAAAATTTACGATCATTTACGAGCAAACGAACAGGCTGAATGGCATTCGCATGTACTGTAGGAACCAGTACTATCACTGCAGGCGCCGATTGGCTGCAGCCTGCAGGTCGCTCGCGGCACGGGGTTCCTAGTCAATTTGCAAGGCATTGCGTTTGCGTGCACATCACTGACGCGAGTTGCACAAGTCGCGAGCTGTTCACGTCCTGGAACAGGAGGCGGCCGGGGGCGTCAACGGACCTCGCGGGGAGCCAACCGTGCAGTTCCCGGCTAAAGATGACAACGGGCACAAAATATTCGCGTGCCCGCGGATAGAAAACCCGATAGATATGGATATGGGTTTAAGTTTATGCCCACGGGCACGGGTATGGGTGTGATTCAAAACCCGATGGATATTTGCTCGTGGGCATAGAAAAATGATATCCGCACCCGCAAACCCGCTAGACCCGCGCCAATGACCCTATAAGTCTATATACGGTTGTATGTCTTTATTCGTGTTAATTTATGATGACTTTGAGATACACTAATGTAGACTTTTGATGACTCTTGTATGGTCAATGTGTTATACTTTATCTAATGTTGAGATATAGACGTTTATTTTTTGATTTATTGTTTCTTACTTGCTATTAAGATATGGTTGGGTGCTTTGTTGTTTTATTTTTGCGGGTATACGGGTGTGTCCGCGGGCATGTGATATCCACGGATAGCGGGCACGGACATGGTTTTCTACCCGTGACGGTTAACGGGCGCGGGCGCGGACACGGATTTTTGCTCGCGGGTATGGATATCTAGGGCTAGTATCCGCGCGGATTTTACCCGTTGCCATCTTTATTCCCGGCCGTGTGACCTCGTATCCCCAGCCGTACCTAGTGACTCTAATTGCTTTATTAAAAGCAGAGTAACTATTTTCTTTTTAAAAAAAATACTTCTTTGTTTTAACTATATAGGTGTTCAGAATTCATACCCAATAAATTTTCACTTGAATTCCATGATTTGTGCAAATTTTTTGTTCCTCCTTGTAACGTTTTGGTCCACCAAAAGTGCATGATTTATTTTTTAGTGAAGTGTACAAATTTTCCATTTCCATGTATGTATAACTTTTTCCACCTAAACAAACTTTTGTGATTCTCAACTTAAGATTATCACACAGTCTGTTCTAGAAGATGGGTCGTTGAAATTTACAACTGAAGCCCACCAACTATCATATGGAGGACAAACAGTCGGAAGGCCAATAGAAAGAGAATAAGCCTCCTCACAAAAATGTAAAGAAAGAAAGAGAATAATCCTAAGGACATGTTTGTTTCTTCTTCTTCTTTTTTTTTTTGCTATTGTTAGGCAGGAGCTGAAATAAACAGTCGAATTTTTGAGCTTGCTTTTTTTAAAAAAAATTGAAAGCTGGCTTATATCCAAATAAATAAAAAGCTAAAAAGCAGATTAGGAGTTTTTCTAGTTTTTCGTGTACCAAGAAGCTAAAAGTTATTACAAAAAATCAATAGTAAAAAGCTAATAGCCGGAAGTCAGTGTTTAACTAAAAGCCCTAACCCTAAACCCTAAATCCTTCGTTGTTTATTTCGCTGAAATTTAGCTAATGCTGATTTGTTATGAGAGAAAAATATTATTCATTCGTTGAAAAATATTAGTGAAATAGTGCTTAAAAACAGGGCGTAAAACCGCAGCTCAAACAAAGGTCTAAGCAAAAAGAATAATTAAGAGGAAGGAGGTGTGCGTCACGTGGCATCATGATTGAGACCTAGGCGCATGCGAACAGCTCCCTATAGGCTATATGTTCTACTCAAATTTTTAATAACTACCATGCTAAACGCATGTTTTATACTTAATTTATGAAAGGCGTGCGCGTACCTAAAAAACAAAATAATTCTCTAGTCTACAGTAGCTAAGAGAAAGCTTAAAACCTGCACCGTCAGAGGTCAAACTAGCAATGCGTAGTGGATGTGAGGTAGTAGCGATGGCCATGGACCAGTTAGCAATGCCCATGCTCCTGTCCACCGACTCAGCAGCCGCCGTCATGGTGCTCCTTTCCGTGGCCACACTGCTTGTTGCCCTGAACCACATGCTCTCATCACGGCGGCGATCGTCCCGGCGGCTTCCCCCGAGCCCGCCGCGCCTCCCGGTGATCGGTCACCTCCACCTGCTGCGTCCACCGGTGCACCGCACCTTCCACGAGCTCGCGTCCCGGCTGGGGGCGCCCCTGATGCACATCCGCCTCGGCTCCACGCACTGCGTCGTGGCCGGCACGGCCGACGTGGCCAGGGAGCTCATCCGCGACCACGACGCCACCATCTCGGGGCGGCCGGTCTCGGTGCTGTCCCGGCTCTTCTCCTACGGCTCCGCCGGCTTCGCGTTCACGCCCAACAGTCCGCACTGGCGCTTCCTCAGGCGGCTGTGCGTCTCCGAGGTGCTGGGCCCGCGCACCGTCGAGCAGCTGCGGCACGTCCGGCGCGGCAGCCTGGCGTCGCTGCTGCGCGCCGTGCGGGCGTCGGCGGCGCGGGGCGAGGCGGTGGACGTCACCCGCGAGCTCATCCGCTTCTCCAACACCGCCATCATCCGGATGGTGGCGAGCGACGTGGGCGTGACCGACGAGGCGCAGGAGCTGGTGAAAGCGGTGACGGAGCTGCTCGGCGCCTTCAACCTGGAGGACTACGTCCCCCTGTGCCGCGGCTGGGACCTCCAGGGCCTCCGCAGGAAGGCCACCCGTGTCCACCGGCGGTTTGACGCCGTGTTGGAGCAGATGATCAGGCACAAGGAGGAGGCCAGGAACAGGGAGCGTCGCCGCGGCGGCGGCGGCACGCAGGAGGAGAAGAAAGTAGAGGGGCCGCCCGCGACGTGCAAGCAGCGCAACAAGGACCTGTTGGACATCCTGCTGGACAAGGCGGAGGACGAGAGGGCGGAGGTGAAGCTCACCAGGGAAAACATGAAAGCCTTCATCATTGTAAGTAACCCTGTAAGCGTGCAAAAGTCCCAGTAGCGTAGCGTCCATGCATGCTAGTAACAACGTTGCCGATGCAGGACGTGGTGACCGCTGGGTCAGATTCGTCGGCGGCGACGGTGGAGTGGATGCTGGCGGAGCTGATGAACCACCCGGAGGCCCTCGGCAAGGTGCGGGCCGAGATCGACGCGGTGGTCGGCGGGGACAGAAGGATCGTGGGGGAGGCGGACCTGCCGAGGCTGCCGTACCTGCAGGCGACGTTCAAGGAGACGCTGCGGCTGCACCCGGGGGCGCCCATCGCGCACCGGCAGTCGACGGCCGAGATGGTGGTCCGCGGGTTCACGGTGCCGCCGGAGACGGCGGTGTTCATCAACCTCTGGGCCATCGGCCGCGACCCGTCCTTCTGGGAGGAACCGCTGGCGTTCAGGCCGGAGCGCTTCATGCCCGGCGGCGCCGCGGAGGGGCTCGGGCCCCGCGGCGGCCAGCAGTTCCAGTTCATGCCCTTCGGCAGCGGCCGCCGGGGATGCCCCGGCATGGGGCTCGCGCAGCAGTCCGTGCCGGCGGTCCTCGCGGCCCTCGTGCAGTGCTTTGATTGGGCCGCTGCCGACGGCGGGACAGCGGCGATAGGTATGGATGAGTCCGACGTGGGCCTAGTGTGCGCTCGGAAGCACCCGCTTGTGCTCCGTCCCACCGCTCGTCTCAACCCGTTCCCGGCGGTCGTCTGAACCCGTTCCCTGCATGCCGGCCGGCTTGCCGATCGCCATCGTATATATACATGTCCCTTAATTTTGTACTCGTATATTGTTCACACAAAAAAATGTAGTCGTATATACGTACCTGGGTCCTAAAATAAGTACATTTCTGATGCATAGTAACAGGAAACCAGCCAATTCTTCGTATGTACAGTACAGCTTACTCGGTAGATTTGTTGTGATTGCGCCATGTGCAAGCATACCTGGGTGAAGTTTATGTCCACTTACAAAGTGTCGGATATCTATATCCGAGTATCCGAGCCAAAGAATTAATGAGCGTCACGTCGGCTCATACGATGGTTAAGGGCATAGCTGTGGCCTCGTTCGACCCCTAGGGGCCGGGCCACGCCTCGTCCGACTCCGAGAACGAGGTTTCCGCCTCGTCCGACCCCAAGGCATGGGTTCCGAATCCGGCACGAGGTTTCCGCCTCGTCCGACTCCGAGGACGAGGTTCCGCCTCGTCCAACCCGCAAGCGTGGGCTCCGACTCGTCCGGTCCCACGGGGAGGGCTCCGCCTCATCCGACCCCCGAGTGTCGGATTCCGTCTCGCTCGGCCCCCAGGGCGAGATTTCCGCCTCGCCCGTTTCCTGGGGGTCGGATTTGCTACCGGACAAAAGCAGTAGCCCCAGGGTGGGACTTGAACCGCTTCAACTACTACGGCGTGGAGGCGCACACCCATGAGCACGCTCAGAGACGCCCGTCGATGCGATGGCGGCGGTCGTGATGACGTTAGGCTGAGAGACTCACGCCGCCCACCGCGTGAATGAATAGGCCAAGCATTGTGCTCGCCAACTCCTCGCTCGACCACCGTCCAACGTCGGTCGACCGGGCGTTAGTTGATCGGCATGCACCGCCAAATTTCGCGATAACTCTGTCAGGGGACCCTTTGACCATTCTGTCCGCTCGGATGGGATGGAAGACAAGAACGGCGCACGACGCCCGCACGTATGCCGCAGCGGCCAACAGGACCCCGGTGCGATGCCGCAACCACCACGATCTACAGGGTTAGCGGGACCCACACGAAGAGGAGGACGGCACACCCCCGAGAGCCTTATTTCTCTTTCTTTTTTCCCTCTTCCCTTCTCTCGGTCTCTGGTATCCTGTTCTCTCCCCTTGGTCTATAAAAGGGAAGGCAGGGCACCGCTTCGAGAGAGAGAGAGAGATCGACTGATAGATCGAGCAGTAGAAACATCGAGCAATCGAACCACAGAGACTTGGGAGCTCCTCCCTCTCTCGCCAGTTTGTAACCCCCTATTATAAATTTAGTGCTGGTAATACAAGCAGACCGAAATTGGACGTAGGGACATTCGGCCCGAATCCAGTATAATCATCGTGTCCTCTTAGCACACCAACCGAATCAGACGCACAATATTACAAATTTACTCGTTGGTGTTTACTCGAAACACCGACACAAAGTTTTCGATTTCATAATACAAAGTTTGAAATATTTTTGTACAAAGTTTGGAAACTTGGAGTGTAAAGTTTTAATTACAAAGTTTCCAAGTTAGATGTATCAAAGTTTTATAGCATGCCATTAGAATTTTACAGTGTGGTAGTATAACGGTCCTTAGTTCAAACTTCAAAGAATATTTCAATATGCTGATATGTTGTGAGACACTGTTCCCCTATGGCCTCGTTCGCTTTGCTGAAAAAACAAGCCGAAACACTATTCCGGATGATTTGTTGTGAGAGAAAAATACTGTTCCGTCTAAAAAAACAAGCTGAAAAGGACGGATTATAAGAGAAGCGAATAGGGTCATAAAGTTTCCGATTTTTGTGTGCAAAGTTTGGAATAACAAGTTTTGAATCTGAGTTATGTTTTAAATATGCTAGTAGAAAGTTTTTAAATTATTTGTAAAAAGTCCTTTTAAAATTATTAATTTTGCTACTAGTTTTTTTTAGAAAAGGATTGCATTTTATTAATCTCTACGACTAAAACATTCATAACTATTTCGTCCAGAGCTGCGACACCAGAACCGCTCGCTCACATGCATCTCCGACACCTGCGACAAATTACCGTCGAGCGCTCGCACCCTCTCCTCGATAGCGGGCTCAACGGAAGGCTTTCGCACACGCACTACGAGGGAAGAAAGCCCAGATTTCGCAAATCAAATCCACCGCTGCCCTCGCCTTCGGCAGTCGTCCTCCTCCTCATGCCCTGCACTTGGCTGGCCTCCGTCGTCGCTATCGCCCTTGCAGTCCTGCTCGGAGCGCGGGCTACTGACGGGCCTCGACGAGGATGGCAGCGGTCAAGGCAACGCCGCGCCCGCGCCGGAATCCCACGCCTTCATTGTCGTCTTCCACCACGCCGCCGAGCCCTCGACTCGCCCACGCGGAGGCTCCGCCGCCGCCCTTCGCCATGCCGACCTCAACACCCACAAGCAGCCGCAGCCAGGACCACCCTCGCCGCGCCGGACGGATCTGCCCCAGCCGTGCCTCCTGCTCTCCCTGCCGGAGGCAGCGGTCAAGGCAGCGCCGCGCCCGTGCCAGAAGCCCACGCCTTCATTGCCATCCTGCACCGACCCGCCGACGCCAAGGCCGCCGCCGGCGCCCTTCGCCACGCCGACCCTAACAACGACCATCGCCACGGCTAGGACCACCATCGCCGCGCCAGACGGATCTGCCCTGGCTACGCCTCCTGTTCCTCTTCACCGCCTCCACAGCGCTGAGACGGTGCTAACAAACTTTGAGGTAGTTGACAGCCCAATCACCAGATTTTCGATGCATATGCATACAGCACAGCATATCTTCTCCCAGCCACCATTGCCGCTATTCAGAACTTGATTTTGTTTGTCCCTTCCAAAAAAAAAATATTTGTAGCAGAAAAGGCTCCAACAACGTGAACAACAATAAAGGTATTAACTTGCATAAATTTCAGTTATTTCAACTAGGTAACAAATGCTTCTTGTTCTGTTAGGTCCTGTAGCACATAGCAGCTCAGAGTTACGGTTTGGCTCAGGGTCTGCAGAAAGAAGACCGGAACATCCAAACTCTTCTAGGTGAAGTACTATTGCTGCACATTTGCTCCATAAGTTTATCTGAATTTTGGACATCCTCTGTACCTTTGCAAGAAATAATTTAGATAATATTTTGGACCATGGAGCACTGGAGATATGCACTTGATACCTAGCGTGTAGTCAGTGTGGTTGAGCCATCTGCGCATCTGAATTTAATTTGCATCATGATAGGTGAAGATTAACTTTTCTAGGATATGAAAACTTGTTGGCTTCGTCTTTTTCAGCTTGTTTTTTCAGCCGGAACAGTGTTTTTCTCTCACAACAAATCAGCCGGAACAGTGTTTTGGTTTGTTTTTTCAGCGAAGCGAACGGGGCCATAACTGTTATCACACATTTGTCGTATGTACATGGGCCTTACATGATTCGTTTCATGATCTGACTAAAATATTATTGGGCATTAAATTGATTGGATTTATATTTAGAGATTCCTCATGTTTAGAGATTCGGAGATTAAGAGAATTGTGTGTCATTGCCTTGGAGTCACGAAAATATGATAACAACTATGAATTATGTCAATTTACATGAAAAATATTATTGTGCGAGGTTTATTGGGCAGTAAAACAGGATAATTTTAGGTAAAATATTTCAGTTTGATATGGTTGTGTTAATTACTGTTAACTTTTCTTCAATTTGAAGCTTCAGGTCACTTAAGACCTTCCCATCACATTGTTAGCAGCAGCAGAGAGGCAGGGGCCGTTGGCCGACGACGACAGCAGGACCACGCTTGCCCACGATGACAGCAGCACCCCGCTGGCCGCTGCACGCCTGCAGCCGTCCGCTGGCCGCACTGTAGCACAGTAGCGACGCTACATGATTTCTATAGAAGTTTAAGGGATGCATACTGGAGTTTTTGTGAACACAAGTGGAAAGGCCAGTGCATATTTGTGTTGGGCACGAGTAGATAACTTAGTTTACTACAAATTTGCAGTGTCATTTAGATATGTTTTGGCACATCTGCCATAAGTGAATAGTGAGCTGACTATGACTAAGGGAAAGCATTTCAACGAGTTCATGTTGAGGGGCAGCAACATGAATTTTATGGCTATCATTAATCATGGATTCATCATTGGTTTGTTACTATGTCTTGGTCTTATTTGTCAAAGTTCAGTTGAAACAAGTTCTTGGCCACACATATTCTTGGGGTAGGGCAAACCGCTTCCTTGTATTGTTGAGTATGCGCATTGCAGAGAGGAGCCTGAGACGATCGAGCTTGTTCAGCTGGCTTATTCGGCTGGCTGGGGCTGGCCAGGCCACTCAGCGGGGCACTGTTCACGTCATGTCAGAACAGTATTTTTTCTCTCACAACAATCAGCCAGAACAGTATTTTTCAGTCCTGCCGAACAGGCCGGATGTGACAACAGGAGGGTCATTGCATCGATGGTGTGCATCCATTGACCTCTCACAGGAACAAAAATTTTCATGATCCTATTGCCTTGAAATTTTGTTGATCATAGTACATGTTATCCCATGACAATTATGTTATCCTATAACAATCATTTAACTCCCGGTGCAACGCACGGACGCTTACCTAAGTATAGGATACAGGAAAAGAACTAGTACATCTAGCCCCCATAAAGGGCACCCCTCGAGAAAAGAAAAATTACAGCCAAGTCCTCTGGAGGAGCAACCCGCGGCCTTCGCCGTCGTCGCCGACCGATGTTGCCGCAAGCCGGTCCTTCTCCACCTCCCGCAATGAAGAAGACACGGGATGAAGCTCATGGCCGAATTCCAGATCGACGAAGAATCTTCATCAAAGTTTAAGGAGCCCATAAAAAACACGCCCAAGGTGTGCCGTTGATTCGTCGAACGCCAGTTGCCTCACCGTCCAACCCCAGACGACGAACAGCAAAACCACCAGGGGGATCTGAATACACCAACCCAAACACGGGAAGGTGGATAGCTAACCTCGCAAGAAAACTTCTGACGCGTCCACCAAAATTGCCTTGGAGGAACAAA